AGTTTGCTTACCGGGCCCCGAGACTTGCCAGAAGACAAAAGAGGACACAATACTCTAGCAGAATACGTATTGTCGACGCAAAGAGGTGGCCTGGGTGGCCTGGAAGCCAGGCCACCAGGAGAATATGCAATGGCGGAATCGAAAATTACAAAAGTGACTAAAGTATCACAGAGATAGCTGTCTTGGCATCCATCACGTGCCATCATTTCGAAATGGCAGACATTCATTCACGTAGGAGGATTTGATTGCATTCACCGTTCTTACAGAAAGGAGATTCGGCTCTTGTGCTACTTGGGCCCGATTGGGCTATGCGTTGATTAAAAAGCAACGGAAGTGTGTGTAAAATTAACAATTTGTTGTTCCACTTTTGCTAATTAAGTTTTGTAATGAATTTTTTACTGATGAAGGGTATCACCTGGATTGGAAGATCCGACTCCTTCAGCTGTATTAGTTTTACACTTGAGAAAGAAAGGAAAATTAGCTGATTTTCTCAGTTTGTCTTGTTTTGCAACTCTACGCTTGTAATCACCAGCTTCGCTAGTTCCTCCCTCCCGGATACATCAGGAGTCAAACCTGTATGACCATTTTAAACTTGGCGTAAATAGGAATGTTTACATTACCCTAGCAGCTGCTTTAGTGCTGCAAGGGTTTCGGTGTGAAAGTACTTTAAATAAGCAATTTTTTAATAAAATCATTTCAGAACATCCTCCCACACTGGGCCTACCATTGGCCTCCGTGGTGGCATTCAGTGGATTGCTAACCTTGCAGTTGCAATTCGCTCTGCCGTCTAGACGAGGAATAGCTGTCCATGCAACCACTGGAGTAATCACCGGCAATCTCTCCTCCCAAATTAGGAACTGTACCCACAGAAGGGCTAGTTATTGGGCATCGACCTGGAGGTCAACGGACACGTAGGTGACCAATCGGGCAGGTGGACTTAGTCAACTCCTTTCTGTACATTCGCGTTTGAAGGAGGTATTTATTCCACTCTATCTTCTAATATCAACGGAGCTTCTTTTTCGCTGTAAAAATATTAGGACGATTTATTTGTCCATGGAAATCGTTCCACGCAAAAGTTCATGCCCAAATTTTCATGCCTGTTTAATGCTGTCAGGAGGGGTGTAAACAGTTATCTTACACGTGCATCTCAACTAGCTACCAGCAATTCTTCCTGTTTTGTTGTCCACTACTGAGCTTGGACACGGTTATTGCAATCTATCTTCCGTCACAACATTATCATGGGGGAGTAATTTTGGAGGCGAAACAACTCCGCGACATAAGGACAAGGCACACTCTTCTAATTGTCACCCTGAATAGGTACCCCACTTTCGCTGTTCTATCATTTCAACGGTCACAAAAACGACTGCCTTTGTTGGATATGCCCAAATATAGTGATCTCTAACAGCAACTTCTGCTTACATGGGAAGCTTATCGTATGAGGAGTCTTTCTGTCCGATCTAACGCTTCCCCCTCCCTTTTGGAGAGTCCCACTGAATGAGCCATGAACATGATTAAGGCCAGTTAGCTAATTTATGGAGGCAATTTTTAGATAATAGTACATTTTCTTCCAAAAATTTACTGCAGTCACTTACGTTTACTCATTAAAATCGTCATGCATGCCTATCACACTCGCCTGGGGGAGTAATAAGTTGTTATCTTCGCTCAAATCCTGCCATCTCACAACCGGGACCTCCGATAGGGTGAAGCATTTACTGTAAAAATGAAATATGCATTTCCCGACTTAACCTAAAGGTGATTCTTAATTCCGGCACAATGCGCTTTCGAAATTTCAGAAGGGAGGTTAGCTGGGGGACCAGATAAAGATAAGTATTTTACGCCAATTTTCTAAGGTGGTAAGTGTATTTCCTAAATTAGACATCCCACGAAAGAACTGAACTTGTCAAACTGGTTGCTGAAATGAGTCAGTGCCTTCCTCACGGTAGTGCACCCACTGAACCATCTGTTTGGTCTCCCATGCTTTTCCCCAACCCAGTTGCCCACACAAAATGGTCACATCTCCATCCAGCCAATTAGCACGCGCACAGCTGTCCGCTGAGAAAATTATTGGCCAATTGCACGCTTCTCTTCCGCACAGACACGCACGTCCACGCCTTGCAGCGGAGGGCGGGCCATTTCCGCAGCAACCGTTCTTGGGCCAGCCCGTTGCAATGAACGCCTATCTGGGTTGCGTGGCGGGCACCGACTCACGTGGCAGCGTCCCGATGGCGGGTCGCCACCGGCCCACAGCCCACCCCACGGCCCTTGCTGCCACGCTTGATCGCCTCTCCTCCACTTCCGCCGCCGCCGCCGCCACCAATACTCACATGGGGTCACGGTTGCATGGACGCAACAACAGTTTTGATGCGATGCAGACAGTGGTACTCACTCGGAGTCAAGTGGACAAGCCCTGGGGCTTCCGCATTCAGGGGGGCCAGGATTATAACCTCCAACTCACGGTCAAGAAGGTGTGTGTCGATTCGTTGATTTACTGGCGGATTGAGTGCATTTCTTGCCTTCTTTTTTGATCAAATAATCGGTCCACCTTAGGAATAGTTAAGCTGAGCTTTAACGATGGAAGCTATTGTCTTGGTTTCTCAAAGTTCGCTCTTAGCAATCAACGCAAATGCTCTAGCAACGTCCTCCAGTAAAAGATGTCCCACTAGTTCCTCCAACTGCATTTATGCACTGACCTTAGGAGTGTCTGAAATTACTCGAGTCCCCTCCTAATTGCACTGCGGACACTCCACAGCGGGTGAATTTGGCGGATTATTTTTTCCATTCCTGCATTTTGCGTTTTATGGGCGCCAAATATCTCGTGCGAAAGAGGTGAACAATTCGTAGCGTCTTGGGCTTAAAACAAACGATTCTGATTGCCTTGGGCTTCTCTATATGCATGTACTGTCACTCAGCCGGCGAGATAAAGTGTTCACTTGTCACCTGTGCAAGTGGACCCTTTGAAGGGCTCACCCAGCCAGTTATAAGCATCAACGCACATGAAAGCAGCTGAATTCTTCGGTTGTGGCCTCCATTTTACGACTTTTCCTCAAATTGTCTTCAAAATACGTGAGTCCTTGCAAGTGCGTTGCTGATACCTTACCAGCTTTTAAATCTGCAGGTTGACTTGTTCGTCCCTGGAATGTCAAGTACGTGAGCGCTCAGAATTCTATGCGATTGAAATGAACGTATCAATATGCTTTGAAAAAAACACCTTAGTATCTTCGCCCTCTTTAATCCTTAGAGCAATCTCTTCTCAGCGGATCGGACAAATCCGTTCTAAAGTGGGTCTTAAGGTTGGACTTAGAAACAAGATTTTTATGTGCTTGTACTGCTGCTAAAATTGGCTCGGAGGCGAGAGAATTTACAATTTTGAAGTAAGTATACAAATGCACCGCCTCAGCAAAAATGGTAACAATCTTTCTTTTTACGCGGCATTTCCTGCGGGACAGAGATAACTTCATTGACTTCGTGTAGTTGGCCTCCTGCTGAACTGCTATTTCTGTTTGGATCACAAGCTAGAACTGATCCATCACGGAGTATAAATTAAGGTGGCATTGTGTGAGGCCTCCAGTTCTGGAATGGCATTTGCGCAGATGCGTGAAGGAGGTGGAGGTGCACCGAAGAAATTCCTGTCTCTCTGTCACTTCCGCCCTCGGTGGCATATATCACGAGAACGCATAAAATTCGACTTAATGCCAGTGTTCTTTACACTAAACTCGTCGTGGGGGCAAAGCAATCGGAAAGTGGTAACATGGACACTGGAATGCTGAAGTTTTATTTAGGGGAGACGAAAGCCTTAAGCGGTTCTTCTTATCGACCTTGAAGGCTAATGTAAAGGGCATCGGTGCTGTCCTTTTTGATGCCGTAAAAAACCTTCAAATAGGCAGTATGTCCAGTCTGGTAATGGCGACTCTGACTGCTCCAGGCGTTTGCGTATCCTTAGTTGAGAAGCAGAAGTTGTCCTACTAATTCCCCGGATTATATTTGCGTGTTAATGCTAAAATTTCTATGAAAATAAGATGAAAAATCCGAAATGAAATTGTAATGTACTGTTTATTTTCTACTTTTACAGTCATCCAGAAAACTTAGCAATGCTTTATTCACTCTTAAACAGAGTTTCACCTGCGAAAAATTTTCGCAAACCATATCAACACCGCAAAAGGTACAAGTGTGAGGCTTCTTAAAAAAGCATCTCGTGTTTTAGGTTGCTGAAATTTCGCTTATGCAAGTCGGCCTCTAAAATGTTGTTTTTAGCCGTTTCTACCCGCTAGCCTTAATGACATCATAGGTGGAATTTTACCTAATTAATTTCAGTAGTATACACAATCTGCAAATAAGCAGTTTTTCGGACTGATTTAGTCCTTTAAGTCTTCATTATAAGGTAACCAATAGATGATTAGGAAATATTTATTCTCTTTGACAATGCCTTGTCAATCGTAAAGTCTGACGCCACTGCATTCTTCTACTAGAGATAATCTGCCAAAATTTGCATTGCCTACTGCCATCTGGTAAGTGTTCGCCAGATCGCTTGCAGGGAGTTGTAGATACCCTTCACCTTTTAACTGGGTGGAATGTGTAACTCGTCTTATCAGTTACTACTTCATTCACTTGTTAAAACGAACCCTGAAAGCATTAACAGAAATAACAAATTGATACTTACCTGATTGTGGTAAAGAGCCTTTCCCTCATTAGCTTGCAATTCTCGTAAATTTAAATGCTCTGACATACGTCAGGGTAGATAATTCAAGATTATGTAGACCACTTCATCTACTACCTGTGCAATGTATCAATATACAACCCTGGGCTCCCTATCAGAGGATACGTAACTTAGCGATGATTAGAGGAATGGTTTAATATCCTCTCCAGTAGTGCCACACAAAGGTGACGCTCTAATTTTCGGGTCTGGATCCGGTGTCACAAATATGTGACGTGTTTTTGTCTGTTTGCGCCACATCGTGCTACAAACAGACTGGTTGAGGTTTAAACAATGAGGTGGAAGTTCAATACTCTTAGTATGAGGATAACTGCATCATTTGTGGTCCTTCAAAAGGCGAATACATCTGAATTGTGGCGGTTGATTTTCCTCTGAGTCTAGTAGCAAGCATGCTAAGTATAGATCCTTTGTAATCTTTGTTTAAAACCCTTTGTTTGACTTTGCGAGACTGAGTATTTCTTAAACAGACTTCATTCGGCTCTTTTATCTCATGTTGCCAGCAGATTCCTTCTAATAATAGCACAAGGCTGTGGTGCAGGGTCGAGAAACAAACACCCTCTCTTGCAGCTACCTGTAATATAATATTATTCCCCATAAAACTAGTAAACTAGAACCGTAAATATGATGTTAATGACATTAAAAAGTGGCCTTCGTTGTAGCTGAACACACTCCTTTTCTGGCGCTCTAAGTCTTCCCCAAAGTTGTGATAAACCTAACAAAAGTGGAAAAAGATCAGATCCCCTAATGACCCCTTTTTCCTCTATTATCCTTCTCTTCTGTGTTTCTGTTGGCAACCAACAAGTTTTCATATGAACTACCACTGACTACTGGAAGGGGTCAAAGATGACAAGATGGCATTGCTTCTTACAGAGAATGCCGTCCATTAGTAAACGTTGTAAATTTGGTCGGAATGCCTAAAGATATCGTAATCTCTGGGAAAGAGTCCATTTAGGGCACAGCGCTCAAGGCTGGACCATTTATACCTCGATGGTATGCTCTACGTCAGTTGCATCTCTTGGCAACACTTGCCTAAAAGCACTACTAAAAGGGACAATCCCACATCCTCCGGCCAAATACGATGCGGTGGAATCTGCTTTCGCTGGATTAGCTGTTATTAAGTGGAACTCGAGAGAGGAGATCTGCCAAAATTTGAGGCCGCATATATTTCTCCCCACACTCACCGATTTCTTTCCTTTGGTGGCGCTGAGGCTGAATAGTCAGTCAAAGAAACGAGTTTAGGTGTCCCTTTGGATCGAGTTTGCGGCTCGATGCCCTCAGCGTGGTTACCGTCAATGCACAAGCACTCATTCATTTCTAAGGCGTCCGTACCTCACTCCGTTGGCGTTACTGAGCCAAAGGGTGTCCATTTATCTCCCAAACTCGAGGGGATGGTAGTGTTTTTAAGTACCGAATGTGGCACGTTAATCGTGATGTTCTCATTCACCTTCATCTGTAAAAACGTGGGATTTATTTAACCAAATGCCTCTCTTCTTCCTGAAGTTGTAAATTACTTTGGCCATAGTTAAACGAATTCTGAAACACCTCAAACACGGAGAGTTACTGCACTGTTTTCCTAAACAAAATAAGTAACAATCTTTTTGAAAACTTTGAAATAAATAAGTCACTTATCGAGACCTTCTTTGCTTCAGAAGTGTCTTCTTTCTTGATAGGACCAAACGCTATTCTTTTTTAAAAACAATTTTTGTTTGGCACTGAAAGGGTTTGCAAAATAAGTGGAAATTTAAAATAGCTTTTCCTCTGTCCCAAAGTTAATCTCTACTTGTCGCTGAGGCGTTGCGCCGTGAACTCTACCACTCGTCCCCCATTAACATGGATTCTCAATCGTTCCGCTGATGATGTCAGGGTCTGGTCTGAACTCTGTATGCAAAAAGCGTACTTTAGAGGCCCGCAATCGTGGTTTTTAAATGCCTTTCAAACCATTGAGTTCAAATGTCACTGCTAATTAAGGGCAATATCTCTCCACTTTTCACGGTAAATTGAATACCCGCATAGTAGGCTCAGGGTTTCTCTCCTCCTCCTCCTTATCCTCCAAACCTTTGGAATGAGTAGGCGTGTTGAACAAGAAGGACATGATTTATTGGGCAGCAACAAATAAAGGGGTGGAGATGTCACTGTTTGGTCGTGTTCAGGCTACGTTTCCTCCTCCCCGGGGGCCACTGACGCCCAATCCGTCACGAGGTTCGTATTTACTGACCGCCTCTCGCCTTAAAAGTGCATTCAAACAAGCATGTATTGCACCCCATTTGCAAAACAAAGATGCAGTGACACGAAACCTTTCCTCATTAGGCACCCACGAAATTCGTCCATGTCTCGAACAGCTTGCTTGTCGGGTAGAAGGCCTCTTCTGCGTAAAATTGCTTGTGAGGGTATCCCGGTCCTGAAATAATTTTTTCACATTTTTACACTGATTCGGTGATTTCGGTACGCCGAAACAACGGTCTTAAGTTAGAACGCTATAATTACCTCGTTCCTAATTGAAGCTCACTTCAATGCCTTCTAGGGAATCCACTAAAGTGCTTCGTGATTTCCTAAAAACTCGCAAACCTATCGATGATCTTAATTGTCTTGAGGGTCTAAGTTTATCTCCTGGCCATACTTTCTCTACAAGAAGCAGTTGCAATTACGCTAAAGCCTAAGAATCATAAGCTAAAATAGTTTTTTATCCAAAAAGCGTCTCTCTTACGCATTTTTTACAAATGGAGATATACGTGTTGGAATTACTGACCTGACCTTCTGTTCGAAGTTATTGGATAACTCAGCCAAAGAAATTGTCATCGAAAAGAGCTAAGGAAGACTCGTTGTATGCGGGTCTATCCGTCATCTTGGAATCCTCGAAGTCAGTTTCATGTGAGACCACGACGACTTGATTTCCCGATCATTGCAGAATGAGTTTGTGAGGATTGAAATACCTCGGTACCTGTCCTCCTTTCTCAGTAGGTCTCTATTACCTTTCATTCAAGTAGCCAGCAAAATCACTCATATTGTTGAGATTATTGTACTCCTCCATGGTACCTCGGCTTCTTAGTCTAATTTATATGTGAGGGTTGAGTTCAAGTAGGAAAACCGGTGCGTCAAACATGTGTGACATCAACAACAACAATTATTCTCGGTTAAGGAATGAATTCCCACTCTAAAACTATTACAAAAGGAATGAATGGAGGGGTAACTAAATTTCCAACTGTCAAGTTATTGTCATTTTTCTTGTCAAATTCTATAAATTCAGAAGGATGGCGATTTTGGGGTGGATGACATGCACTCTGTAGCAGTTATAGTTTGTACAAGCAATCTCTTACTTGGCTGACAGGAAGTGAAATATATCTGCCCCTATCGTCAAAAGTACACAAAAGATCACCTTTTCGGTGCTTTTGCACGCAACCCCCTCTCAAGCTCTTTTTTTGCTGCTGCCGCTGCAACAACTTTCAGGCCGCCCTCCTTTACGTGACTCCCCGAGGCTCATCTATGACCACGCACTTGCACTTCTGGTGGGCATTAGGAGAGCAATAAAAATTTATGGGGAACCTATTGAACAGTTAATTAAGCAGAAAATGTCTTACTCATTTCTTATTCGAAAATTCTAGACTGTTGAACCCTATAGCTAAAAGCCATTGTCTTTTTCGGACGCCTGTCAATGGGAGTTGGTGGAAGGGGCAACCAGCAATTGAGACTTGCACCCCCACGATACCTCACGGCGGTTTCATTTTGAAACGATCTCAAAAAGTTAACAGAACCATTCAAATGAATGTTTCCTTTAGAGCTGCAGCTCATGGCATGATGTGATAGGGAGAGGAACTACCGAAAGTCTACAATTTTACTGTGCCTCGCTGTCACAAACAGCGATATCGTAAGCTGCCGTTACTGGGTCTCGTAACGCCGGTAAATCAGTATAACTTTAGAATATCTTACAGAATTGTTTGTCATTAACCCAAATTAACAGGTTTATATTACGAAAAGTAGCCTTTGAAGGTACAATTTGTCCAAATGCTGTTTGCGTTCAAGTCAGATCGGGACTGATATTTTCAAAACTGCAAAACTACCGAACTCGAATCCCTAATAGGAGATAATTTAGTCCAAATCATTCCAGCCACTGTTGATTAGAATGACAGGTAACAGCGGCAGCGCTTTCTTGCGTGTTGGAGATGGTGGAAAGGTTTCATTTAACGAAGCTGTCGAACCCAAATTTGTGGTTGCCATTTGTTTCTGTGGTCAAGTCATGATAGTACGGCCAAGCACTTCAAGTGCTGTGCTGCAAGACACCTGCTCCTATGGTATCAGTCACACCCGCAAGCTCGTCTACAAGTGGGCCCACAGACAGTGATGGCTCCGCTCCCAGCTCACAGTTCCAGCTGGCAGCCCACGGGGAACACTTGATTCCAGACGCATGATCAGCGCATAATTTGTTGTGCAGCAAAGTTGCATGGGGCACGAATCCTCTTTCTGTGGAAATGATGAGTACAACACACTCATCGTGATCGTGCATAATTTGTAACATGACAGTTCTCCACAGACCATCCTAGGATGATGAAGGTGCGCTGATAGATCTTCATATGTTAAAGCTTTTCCAGTACTACTTGGACCTCGAAATGAGTGTCAGAGTGGTAGAGGACTTACTTCTAAAAAGAAATACAGCTTGTACTTCTTAAAGTACGTCCTCTGCTCATAGGCAACCTACAAAATCCCGATTTGGTTTGAACCCCATAAAGTACAATCGTTCAAGCTGCTGCTAAGACCTCCGGCAATTCCTGATTACTTCATGATGTAAAACGGAAATCAGAAGAGGGGGGAAGTGCACTTTTAGCCTTAATCCCCTTGTCATTCAAGCTGCAGTTGGGCTCGTCCACCCCGCGCCTCCCAATGTGCCGTGATAGTACAGTGTGGAGAGAGCCGCAGTAACTACGAGGAATCCCAGTTGGTAGAGGGGCCGCACTTTTTTGGTTGTTATTTGACAGTGTGGTATGTCAGTACCTGGCCTGGTTGCAACATACTGGGAGGCAAAAAAGGTTGCATTAATGTTACCACGTGTCCGCTATTTCCCTTGTGAATGTGAGGTGGTCATAAAAGGTCGCGCGATTTTCGTACTGAGGAGTAAATAAGTGATGAAGGCGTCTTACAGTCACCGTTACGATGCAACATCCTTCCCCAATGGTATTTAGGGCATCCAAAGTAAAGAATGCCACTTTTGTAACACGCGATTCACCCTTTTCTACCTCACTTCCACTCTCCAACTTTCTGTTCCATTGTGCGTCTACTTGGCATTTGATTGCCGAATGTCGGAGAAGAGATAATCCTCAGGCGTAGAGGCATTCGAGAAATGTGGAGAATGAGGTGATGTAGCATCCCCTGTCGCAATCCAGTCTAACATTCTTTATACCATCCAATCCCATCCAGCATCATCCTAAAGTACAAATAATCTCAGAGGAGGAGGAAAAGATAAAAGAGGAAAGGATTTCCTTGCAAGCCCTTTGTTTGTATGAATCT